TTAATGAGACACAACAAAAGACAAATTATTTTAAGAAAGAGAGGAAGAAAAAATATAGACCTTCATAATATCTGTGGAAAATATCTTCAAGTTTTCTGAATATCCCTAGCTGCACGTCAGGCTGTCTTTGCAAGTGTCGACCAGCAGCTCGAGGAAAGTGATTCTTCTCCTCTCTCTGGCACTTGAGATCGCATCTGGAGTGCTGGGTTCAGGGAGCTGCACTACAGGACAGACATTGGGCTTCTGGGGTGAGTCCAGCAGGAGACTGGGTGTCTTCAGCTGTAAGAAGAGAAGGCAAATGGGAGATCTTGCTGATGCCTACAACAACATAACATATCAAGGGAAAACAGAGCCACTATGGGAAGACAAAGGGCAATAGATACAATTTGTAACATGAGGTATTTTGGTAAGATACAGAAGAAACATTTTATACCGTGGGTAGTGAAACACTGGAATGCATTCACCAGAGACCTTGATTTAAAGATTATTTTCTAAATATTACTTAGTTACTCTCCTAAAACATTTTTTTCCCCACTGTTTGAATGAATTCTGGTTAGTAGGCTCTTTGTGCCCTGTGCAGTTTTGTTCCAATTCCTATAGAATACTCTCATGTTCTTGCAAAGGTGTATAGGCAGCTCTTTGTTATTCTGTACAGAAATAAGTGAGTTGATGTTTGATTAAAAAAACCCCAAATTTTGAAAATGTGTGATCAAAGCTTGTTAAAGATACCCAGATATATTCATCGGATTACAAATTATTAACTTCTGTGGTGTGATTAATGGAATAGTAGAGTGTTTTGAAATATAGAGTATATTTTATTACTCCAGCTGGGGAAAAAACCCAACAAATAATGGGCTTAAACCACATCTTAAGTATGTGTCTGTTGGTCCAATAGAAGTAATTGTCTTCATATATAAACTGCCTTGCTTTTATCTCTAGTGGCAAGATTAACACTTACGAAATCTTTAAAATCTTTTTTCACTTGAACTGTTTAACACTTTCAGACTTCCTGTCATTGAGGACTGGAGAAATCCAGGAATTTATTACAAGATGTTTCTTTTGATCTTTAATATCAAGGCAAATTATCCAGATAGTCAGTATAGCTGGAGATAAGAAAAATGAAGAAGTTTCCTGCCATTTCTAATAGCAGTTGTTTCTCTTCTGTCCTGAATAATTCTAGGGTGAGAGTCTCTTTATTTGGGAGGGAGCGAGGGAGCAGTGCTGAGATACATAAAACCCATCAAGGTGTAGTACAATGGAATACAGGTTCTTTAGGCAGACATAGGGTTAGAGAGATTCCTGTAAGGCAGAAGGAAATAGTGCCTTTTGCTGAAACTTGGTTTTATCTGGGATATTGCTCTGAATCAAGAACAAATCCAGAAGAGGTGTGCATTCTTCACCTCTAAATCCCTTCCCTCCCTATCCAGTGAGGAGCTGTGTCTAGGAATTTACCATTAATCAGAATTGCACTGAAGTTTCCTATGCTTAATAGATAACTATTGTCAGGGTTTTTTGTGGAGTCCCTTATTTCAATGTGATAGATTTACTTGCTATAAATTGTTTTCATTATAACACTGACTGTGTTAGTCTTGCTTTTCTGGGTTACTGAGTTTCTGTAACTTAATAGATAACACATTCATTTCCTACTGGACATGCTCTTTTCAGCTTTTTATGGGAATGGCATAGATTTTTTTTTCCTTGTATTGATATTTCCACTGAGAACTGCAAATAGAAGTCAATGGAACTGATTATAGAATGGTTTGGATTTGAAGGGGCTCTAAAGATCATTTCATTCCACCCCCTGGATGTGACTCTCCAAGCAGTTCCTTATCCACTGAACAGTCTGCCCATCAAATCCATCTCTCTTCAATGTAGAGAGAAGGATGTTGTAGGCTACCATGCCAAAGACTTACCACAAGTCCAGATAAATGACATCTGTAGCTCTTCCCTTGTCCACTGATGTAGTCACTCCATTGTAGAAAGTCACGAGGCTGGTCAGGCAGGACTTGGCCTCAGTGAAGCCAAGGTGGCTGTCCTGAATCCTTCTCTGTCCTGCATGTGTCATAGTACAGCTTCTTGGAGGATGTGTCCCATGAACTTCCCAGGTACAGAGGTGGGACTGACAGGTCTCAGTGTCTTTCTTTTTTTCCCCTTCTTCAGTCAGCTGGGACTTCACCTGACTGCTGGACTTTCCAAACATGGAAAGTGGCTTGTAACTAAATCTACTGATTCCACTCAGGAGTCTGGAATGCAGCTCATTGGATCCCAGAGATTTGTTTATAGTCAGATTCCTCAAGTGGTCATGAACCTGACATTGACTTAAAGTGGGAGGGACTTTGTTTCCTCCTGCTGTCCATCCACTTGAGTGGTGTGGGAAGAGAGGTTGCCATTGAAAACTGAGGATAAAAAACCCCAATCCTCTTGAGTACTGTAGCCTTCTGCTCATCAATTTTTTCCAGTTGTCCAGGATTTTTTATGCACAGGAGGAGTTACACCTTCTTTGACTTTCCTTTCCTGGCTTACATTGATACTTATTTGAATTGGCTCTGGGAAATAATAATTTATTTAAGAATATTATTTGTCAAATGTGTAAAATGTGACACATTTGACAAATAATATTCTTAAATAAATTATTATTTATGTAAATATGTATGTAAATAAATGTGTGTAAATAGTATTTCTTGCTATTTCTCTGGGATATGTTTTGTGAATTTTGTTTTGAATTGCAAGCGATGAGAGGTAGTGTCTTGTCTGTATGTATTATTTATGCTGAATGGACAGGCCCTCATGCCAGTGTCAGCAAATGTTTTAGGATCAGAGAAACAGCACTTCAGTGGTACTGTGTTGTTCAAGTATACATTTTTATTATTTTTTTCTTTTTGCTACTGGCTTTTTTGTTTAGAAAGGACCATAAACATAGTATGTTTATTGTTTAGTAAAAATATGTGAAACAGGATATTTTTGCACTAGTGAGATGGACAAAAGCATGACTGAGTTAGACTGAAAAGATGGTTGCTGGAAAAAGGGCTAAAGGTGCAAACTTGAAATTAGATAATATTTTAAGTGTTGGTAATTTGAATTTTTTTTTTTAGGATACGGAACAGACAAAATTTTGTCTCTTCAAGTTACTGTCAGACACTGATAGCTTAATGTTTCTGATTTTAATTAAAATCTAAAATGTGTTTTAGGCTCCTTTTTATATAGACAAAGTTGTATAGTTGGTCTACATGTATAAGTAAATGGATCTGCCGAATTATTTGCTGTTCTTATATACATATGTTCTTCGCTATTTTGGAACCAATGTTTCCAAATCTCCTCTTTAGCAGAGTTTGAATTTCCATTGTCCTAAAACGTTCTCATCTCTGAACTTTTAAAATATTTCTCTATGTGAAAAGGTGTACACAGGTTGGCTGCCTTTGAGGTTTGTTTGATGATGGTCTGGGGAAGTGCCAGAAAGAGAGTTGACTTCATAACATCTCTGCCATTCAAATTAAGGATTTATAAAATGGTTTTGTAACTTTGCTCCTTTGCATTTTAATTCATAATAGTGATGTTGGAAACACTGTTAGTGTTTTCTTAATCTGAGCAGAAATAAAAAGGTAAACACTAGGATTCTAACCTGTTTGTTTAATGTGTGAGCAATGTATACAGCTTATGAAAATGCTAGCATTGGGTTTTCACTTGATTTATGTTATATCTCAGTGGAAGGTAGGAACTTTCAATATAGAAGCCCAAGGAAGTTTTCAGGGCTGCTTGATAGAGACAGAAAGCTATTTCAGTATTTTCTGAATGTAAGTTATGAATGTATAAGGGCCTCTTCTCTATGAGTTGTGTGGTTGAATTTCTTGTAGTCTGAATTCAAATATATTTGATGGGATACTAAATCATTTCTGTGTTGACAAATCAACACTTTATTTTCCCCTGGGAATTTTTTTAAGTTCTACTAAGCACAGGAAAACAGGTACAAGTGTGTGCTAGATCTGTGTTTTAAAAAAAATTATATTGAATGGAAATGAGGTACTAAATCACCAAACCATGTATTTTTATTCCTTTGGAGTATAAAATCATTTTGACTTATAGTAAGGTTGCAGAACTTGTAGATGGTAACCTTAAAATTGTTGGCAGGAATAAAAAAAAGACAGTAGAAATGAGAAAGCTTTGAACTTTTTATCACCTAGATCACTTGGAAATGAAAAAAAAACATACTGTGTTGCTGTTTATATGGAGAAAATTGACTCCAAGACCAGTGCCAGTGACAGCTCAGAGGCTGCATTTCCCTTGCTCAATAGATTGTAAGAAACTGTTCTGATTGTTGTTACAGAAACACCTTGTTGCAGTGACCAATTTCTCAGTCAAAATAGGCAAAAATTACCTGAGCTACTGCCATAACACTTTAACAAGTGCTATGACTCTGTAGGTTCTAAAATGCAGTTAGTGTAAAGTTTTTAGTTTGTATTGTGCAATCCAAATAGTCTTGGTTTAGTTTTCTGTTCTGTCCTCTGGGACGACTTAGAACAAGGCAAAGGCTTGCACAGGTGCCAAATGGAAATGTCTTACATTACTTAGAGGAGGCGCTTATGCTGTTAAAGTCTTGTAGATGTAATTATAAATCTAATGATGTTGTGTAAATATGAAATGTTCACTGCTAGGAGTGTACAATTACAAATGTTTTTGTAATACATCCAATTCATTTATACCTCCTTGTAATTTGTAACAAAACAGCTCTTCCCTTTGCAGTGTTGCAAATGTAAGTGCCACTGTATTTTACCCAAAAAGTAAGTTTAAAGCTTATAACTTATTTTGCCTTTGTCTTTTCAGTTAAATTTCTAACAAAGTGAGCAAAGTCATCCTTTTTTCTCACCTTCCAGTTTCACTGTGTTTTTAAACTGTCAAGTAAAACTCCTTTTACCTTTGAAAAATTGATGAAATGTACTTAAGTGTGCATGTTTATTGTTGAACTTTATTTAGTATTTCAAATATTCCATATAATTTCTTTATAGAAACGATTACAAAAAGAACTATTGGCATTTCAAAATGATCCACCTCCGGGAATGACTCTAGATGAAAAGAGTGTACAAAATTCAATTACACAGTAAGTATATATACTGTTTTATTTCTACTATCGTGCTGAAAAGACTGAGTAATGAGAAGTTCTCTTCATTCTTCCACCACTTACGCCAAGTAACATTGTGAATTTTGCTTTTAGTCTAGGCAATGAAACATTGTTCTCCTTAGTAAGCATATTGCTGTGATGTGTTGGACACTTTCAGGAGCAGGGTAGCGAATTTACTAAATTTTTATTAGGTGTTTTGCTGTCTAACAAACTGTCAATTGGTAAAAACTTCTGCATATTTTAGAATAAAATTATTTTATTATCTTTCATAGCTACTAACCTCAAAACTATTCTAGATTTATTGAAATAATGGAGTCATTGTTTTAGAGTTCTGTGACATTTGAATAGAATATATGTCATAGCTGTTAATTTTAATTACCTACTTTCACTAAGGCAAGTGGAGAAGACTTCTTAAAAATCAAAGTTGTCTGGGTACACTTGTTAGCACTTTTTTCCCTGCCTTGACTTTCTTCGTGATTTATGAAATAGGAAGAGAAACATGGTAAAATATTCAGTGTCTGTTGAAATGGACATTGTTCATTTGTGAATGGGGTTGTTCTTGTTATTAGTCTATATTTTAACTGATGGAAATTCAAAAGATTTAGACTTTCACATTTTTTTCTCATAACTTTTTTAGTTTAATTTTAGAGAAATGTTAAAAATTGAGCTCTTGTAAACATTGCTGAGCATATGATCTCAGACTATAAGTTCTGGACTATGTTATCAATTGATGGAGCAGCTTAAACATAGAGCTGAATTTTTATGTTTTCACATCTGCATTTTGGGTGGTGGCATTCAGACCATGTTGCATGAGGCTTTTCAGAGACTCGTATATACTGATTTAAACACTCACTGCTCTTTAAATTACACTGGCCTTTGTGATACTTCAGATGAGTATGACTAAAACTGAAATAGCAATTTTTAATTTTCTGCAAAAATGAGTCAGTCTAATAATGGTATTCACTTATTTCAACAAAAAACTATTAAAACAATGTTTAGAGCAGATTGAAAAGGATATCTCTGTTTCCAGAGTACAACCTCATTATAATTTCTGCCCTGTACAACTTTTAGACCTTTCAATACCTTGCACATAATACTTCCTATTTACTGTCATGCTAGATATTTAAACTGTCACTGTTTTAAAAGCTTCTTGTCAAAAGTAAAATGATATTTTTTTGTCTCTGAGGGTTTTTGGTATCAGGTATCATGTTTTGAGTTCATTAATCAAGTTACAGTTCCAATTGGTTGTGTTAAAAATTTGTGTAGCAATACTTGCTTGGCTTTTAAAGATGTTGAATAAAATAATGGGATCCCATGATGCAAAGGAGTAATTTAAAACATTGAGCAATCTTTTATTTTAAATATACAAGGATTAGAAATTTGAGAAGGCTAAACTGTAAAACAGGAAATATGGGTTCTACTGATTCCTTGGCCATAAAAGGAGCAATGTCCAGGCAAAGTTATCTTCTACTTAGTAAAGTAAACTATTTAAAAAACTTGAAGGTGGAAGTTCTGGATCACAAGAACCAATAAATCTAAAGAGTATTGCTGCGCTGTGTGTATAAATGTAAAGCAGAAAGCAGAAGAGATAAGTGATCAGGATTAAATCAAAGGCATCTTCACAAAATTAAAATATAAAACGTACTTCAGGCTTCACTGTATAGCCACTGTGCTACTGTTGAAGATGCATTCCTCTTGAAGAGTGTGAGAGCTAGCAGTTTTTCTCAAAAATGCCAAAAACCAAAACACAGCAACAATAATACAACCAGCAAAAAAAAAAAAAGCCGAAGAGTGACAGAGGGGAAAATAAAAAATATGCATGGCTTAAATACTGGGAGAGAGAGAGTATATATTACAGAAGGATCATCAGAGCTGCCAGCTGGAGATGTTGATTTGTCTGAGTATGCTGCTGTTCTGCAAAATCTCAGCTGCCTTTCTTGAGTTGATGTAAACCATATCTGAGTGTTTTGGTATTCTCTTTGTCCTAGCATGTTGCTTAGATCTGTAAAACTCAATCAAAGGTAAAAAACCAAAAGTGGGAAAGTGATGCCGCAAAGGATGGTATTAAGTGGTCAGCAGGACTCTAAAATCAGGGAAGTTAGACAGCAGAATGTTGCTGTATGTGTTGAAAAATATGCAAAATAACTGGTTTTAGCTGTACTAGAAAAACCACAATGGAAACCCAACAACAATAAAATCCCCACATGCAACACCACCACCCTCTTCCCCAGCAACTCCACCAGTCAGTTACTTTAATGGTATTATTGTGGAAGGAGCAGAAGCAGAGGAAAAAGAATACTGATACACTGAGCTGTTATTTTCATCACAGATTCAAATTACCCTTTTTTTGGATTTTGTTTTAATTTGCTGGGACCTTTTAACTTTTCCACTATTAACTTCTCCATTTTTGGTTCCATTACCTGCAAGATACCATTTAATTTCTGAGTTTTACAGATGTAAGTACAAGATGACCTTTGCCCTGTCCCCTTAGTTACAGATATTATTTTTATAAACTGTATTGAATTTTCCTTGACAGAAAAGTAAAACAACCCAAAAGACAATGTGTACTAGTTTGTTTCCTTCCAAACCTTTTAAATTTTCAAGCAGGGTTTTTTTTTTTTCAGCTCTGTTGTCTCACATTAAGAGCCATTTCTTGGGAACTGATGGGCTGTGTATAGTTCAAGTCATAATTACATTTATAATTTGCATCACTCTGTCAGTGCCTGTATGAAAAACACCAAGCTTGTTTCTTTTAAATACAGGCTTGATGTGTTGCTCACCTTTGTGATTGCTGCAGTGTTAGAAGAGAAGTTAGATGGCCTGGCTGTGATTGATATTTGATTTGATTAGTCCAGTGCTCCAGGAGTACAAGTATTAATTTGTCAGTCCACAAAGCTAACAGCTTTTTCCCCTATTCCTTAGGTGGATTGTAGACATGGAAGGTGCTCCAGGAACACTCTATGAAGGGGAAAAATTTCAGCTTTTATTTAAGTTTAGTAGTCGGTATCCATTTGATTCGCCTCAGGTAACTGCTGCCTTCTTTCTCTCTTCCTGCTACCTTCAGGTTACAGCCGTATGACGTGTGCTGAGTATTGTATTATCCACATAGCCCAATGTCAGCTTTGCTAACTTTAATTTGTATTAAACACATTATGCAGATGCCTTTTCTTTACAAATAATTCTACAGTGAAATATAGGACTCTGATGTCTGCTTGAACAGATGAAAGCAGTGTAACCTAGAGGCTTCTTTGATGTTGATATTCATGTCATGAAATACAGGGTAAAGTAGGAAGATCCCCTTTACTGTGATGAAGGTGCCAAGTAAACAATAAACTGCTGCTTCATCCCTTCTTACTTTCAGCATATTTTTTCTGGTTGATTTTTAAGACTCTTGGATCTTCTCTGCTGCCATTGTTAATACAGCTGAAGAAATACTGTGCTTCTGATAGGGATTCTCATAGATACATGATATGCTTGAGACCTGCAAATAATGTTATAACTGAGGTATGTGATACTGTGTTGTTTCCAAGACAGCCTAGAGAACTGAAGGGACAGCAAAACTTACAAACTGCAGAATGTGCTGTGTACAGCCATTCCTCCATTACCTGAGGGAAACACTTCAAAATATTCCTGATAAGAGTAGTGGTCAGCTATCACCCCTGCTTTTCTGAAAAAGGAAGGAGAAAAGCAAGAGTGTCTTAGTTCTTGTCCTGTCTCTTTCAGCTCATAGTTCTACAAATTATCTCTGCAACTTCTCTCGTTGATGTTAAAACTGAAGCATGGAGCTGTGAGAGGCACTTTAGCCATAAAAATTAACATATTTTTAGGTACCATGATAAGCACTAGAATGCTGACTTTCAGTCTTTTACAGAATAAACTGGCTACTTACACTTCTGCACCTCATCAGTTTTGCAAGGTACTAATTATAGGTAATCCACAAGAGAGTAACCAGTTTAATTTGGTTCCAGGTTGTTTGTCTTCATTACCCAACCTGTGTCTATGGCTCTGTGCAATTTATTGTAAAGCAGCAAATTAGATCCATACATCTACACTGAGTTTTATCACAGAAAACAATTAAAATTTAAGTACTGGATACTGGATTGTTTCAGATGGCTAGAATTTCAATTTTGCAAACATTGTTGTGCAGTAGGGTCATTCTGCACTACAATTTCTTGGTCATAATTACCTCTCCTGCAAATCTAGTTACTGTGAATTGACAGTTTTCACTTGTGCTGCTTTAATCACTTGGATGTTTTCTGCCTATAAATGTATGTTGTCATAGAGTGCATGCTTCTATTTACCTAGTCTGCCTAGTTTAAGTTGTCATGTAAAAACAGGATATTAGTTACAAGTGAAATACATTACAGAATTATGAAGGTAAGCCCTTCAATGCTTAAGAAATACCAGTTTAAAGACCTGTGAAAGATCATTCTGTATCCAGTTTCTCTTATGCCTTAGAAACCTGTCTGCCATTTTGCAGATAAATTAAGCTCTCTAATTTCAGTTTCCTATATGATGAAGGTGTTACTTGTCACCAGTGAGAAGGTGGGTGTCTGTGTACATGTTTTCATACTTTTATGCATACCTATATAGCTTAAGAAACACTTAAGAAACTGCTGGGTATTATAGTTATGAGTGGTAGAGATTTATATTTTTGTTGCATAAAAGGAGTTGGCAAAGAAGTTCAGGAGTATAATACTGATATGAAGATTTTACTTTTATTCTCTTTCTGTTGGTCCTGAACCAATGATGTTTGACAAAAAACTTGATGTAAGAGTAGTAGTGGTCAAAATTGCTTTTCTAGCCCTTTTTGACTGTGATATTATCTTTTAATAGAGAGGAGTTGAGGTTCTAAATGCCTTTCTTATATACTCCATCTTTCTTATATACTCCATGTCAAATAAAAACTTCTCTATTTGAAGTAATGTTTTAAAAATATTTCCTATTTGGCAAACTTCAGTATATTTTGGTTTCACAAGTCCTTTACTTATAGTTAATAAGATTGACGAATTGTAGTTTTATTCTTCATGCTGGAACCTGGATGAGTTGTCCAGAACTTTATTCCTGTTGTGTCCAGGTTTATAGAAATACTCATTTGTGAATTTTGTTGTGCTTCTTGGTGTATAACATTGTGGCTTATATAATCATTAAAATCCAGTGTTTTGGCAAGACAGCTGTATTCCTTAGGACGTGGAAGACTGAGGCTGCAAGATTTTGCATTGTCTTTACATTGTTACCTTTACACTTTTTCTATGCTATGTTAATATAAAATCCCCTATATTTGACCATTTATTTAACTCCACCTTCACTAGCTATTTAGGCTTCCATTGATTATTTTACATTTCACTTAATAGTTTCTAAAATGGAATTAGCCCAATGTGGTAAAGTGTGTTATTTGGTGTTAGTGAAAATGGCAGATCTGCTTCTTAAATAAGATTATATTGTTTCCCCAAACCAATATAGTTTTATTTAAAATGGGGACTATAAATTAGTTATTTTTGTTCTTTTTTTTAGGTCATGTTTACTGGAGACAATATCCCTGTTCATCCTCATGTTTATAGCAATGGTCATATCTGTTTATCCATTCTAACGGAAGACTGGTCTCCAGCCCTCTCAGTGCAATCTGTTTGTCTTAGCATTATTAGCATGCTTTCCAGCTGCAAAGAAAAGGTATGGGCTTTTTTAGCGCTGTTGAAGTAGAATAAGTAAAAGTTAGTAATTTTCTACTTTACAAAGTAAACTTTTCATTTTTCAAATTCTGATATAGGCAAAACTACTGTATCTACATTTTTACTACTGAGAAAATACTAAGCTAGAACTGCAAAATAAACAGTGCAATAAGTACTTTGCCACTGTTTTCACGGTAACCTGTTTATATATCATTACTGACACCCTTCCAGTTGTACTAACTACGAAGTTCAGTCATGCTTTAGGACAATTCTTTGTAAAATTATCCTTCCTCTAAAGGCAGTGCAGAATGACCAGTGTAATGTCTTTAGTGCAGATGTTTCTAACTTTGCATCTGTACTATTTCAGTGAACGTGATAATTTTCATTTCAGGGAAGTAAATGGCGCTGAGCTGCTTTTCTGGCACTAATATCTTAGAAACCTTTTTGTAAAGAGATTGCCCTTTCACTTTTGACCATTTCTTTCGCAGAGGGCTGTCTGTGGAATTTAGATGTGGTCAGAGCTTGTCCATATGTGCTATCCAAGCATACCTATTTATTTTGCATCCCAATCAGTCCTAGTCATATATGTAGTCAAAAAACCACCCCAAAATGTTTTTTTTTTATCCTATGCATTTTGTAAATGAAGACACTTACGATGAAAACCAAAGAATATGTAATAATGATCAGATACAGATACTTAAATTAATTTATTCACCCACACTAAGCTGAGCCTTAGAATGGGAATTGGATGTAATGGATCAGAATTAGATTTTAAACTGCAAAGGAATATAATTTTGGGGAGGTTTTTGAACAACAGCAGTTTCTTGTGAGTTAGTTTATTTTGTTTGTTTGTTGTTTTTTATTTTTTTCTTTTTTTCTCCCCTATTTATCACTAAACTGTATGATATTTTTTACTATTTTATTTTCTTGGAGTATCTCAAGTAAGAATTTGTTACCTGGATCTGTAAGAGATTTTTCTTGACCAAAAAGGTCTAATCCTGCTTGTTACCTCATTTTCACTGCATTCACATGGTAATCTTTCATAATCTTATTAAATAGCTCATGTATTACAATATGAGGATTGTTTGATTATTTGTAGGTCTTTTCTTCTGTTGCAGAGACGACCTCCAGATAACTCATTTTATGTAAGAACATGTAACAAGAATCCAAAGAAAACAAAATGGTGGTATCATGGTAAGTATCTAACTAGAACCAGAAATTTTTAACTTCTTTTCAGGCTGAAGGCAATTGAATTGTAGGAAAGTAGGATAAATGTGTTCAAAGCATTAAACTAATTTTTTTTCAACTCAAAAAGTTATTTAAATCCTGTTTCTGATATACTCTGCTGTGATTTTTTTTTTCTGTATCACATCTGGATAATTCCTGGTGGAAATTTAAGCATATTTAAAATTATAGGATTGACTTTGAATGAAAGTTCTTGTAAAGTGTATCAATCCATGGCAATTTCAAAGTTTGGGATTGGGGAAAGTCCATGATGAAACTAGGTTTTGCTCCAAAGTATTTTTTTTTTGTTACTGTTATTAACACTTTAAAAACTTTTATGTTGTTGAAAAGATACCTATATATTTGTAAACAGCTATGTGTTTTGATAGATACCACTCTTAATCAGAATTTCCATTATGGGACAGTTGGCTGACTCTAAAGGCTCCTAAAAACGAATACTCAATAATATCATAATAAGATTCTCCATGGACACGATGAAGAAGAAAAAAACGTGTATTAAAACTGCGAGTGTCTGCAGTGCTAGTGTTGTGTTGGGGGTTTTTTCTTTTGTTTTTGGTTTGGGGTGTGCTTAGCTTTTGTGCTTTTTTCTTTTGTTTCCATGTGTTCTGTGTCTTGCTTTATACTTTGTGGTTTCTTTCTTCTGCCTCAGCATTTGTCATCCTTCACCCTGAGCTGCAGTTGGCTGTATGTGCTTGTCTTATCCACTCCGTTGGTGAGGAAGGAGAGAAGAAGGGGATAGAGATGGGCCATGCTTTGTTTCTCTCCTCTTGTTAGCAATGCTTTCCTTGCTTTCCCTAGGAAATTTCTGTACAAGCGGTAGTTACTGGAAGCACAAGTACATTGGGAAGGGATATGTCAGAGAAGGTAATACTCCATGCTAGTCTAGTGCAGAACATTTGATTCCATCACTGCAGAGGCAGGTGAAGGTTCCACCATAAGACATCCTCTGTTTTTCACGGCCTCCCCACTCCAGGATGGGTTCTGTCCCTGAAATGGAAACCAGAGCAAGTATTTTGAGGCAGTGAGAGTTCATGACTGGAGGGGCAAATTCCAAAGTCTTCACCCTTAAAATTCTTAAGATTCTTAAAAGCCCATGGATGGCCTAACAAGAAAAACTTGATAGTTTCATAATACTCGCTGAGACCGATGGGATTTTGACATATGGTAACGTAACAGAATGAAACTGTTTCTCATAATACAGTAATTGTAACTCCAAAACAAGGTGGCTTCAGGTACAGGAAGAGAATTCCTGTATGTCATGAGATTAAGGTATATCTAGGAAACTTGGGACCATCATGTAGTTGTTTTTAAAGTTGACTCCAAAAATATTAATCATATTGCACACAAGGATAGATTTTTCATCCTCACCAGATTATTCAGAAGTCATTTTCTTTTCTCTCTCTGTTTTCATGCTCTTGCAATATGTTTGGTGCTTCTCCATTTCTAATTTTGGTTTCTCTTAAATGGCAGTTTTGGGAGAGTTTTTGTTAACTTTATTTTTTCACTTGCTAATTACTTTTAAAGAGAAACAGGTAAAGATCCATTTATGGGCTTTATTTTGTGATTAAAATATGTTCTGTCTACTTTTAATTTGTACCAGTCTCATTTTGATTTGGAATAGAAATATGTAAAAGCAGAACACTCTGCAGATATTACTTCTGTTTCTTAATAATGATATTCAATTGGTGTTAAACAAGCAAAACAGCAACTTAGTATGAAAAGAAATCCTGAGTTACTGATTCTGAAGGTTTCTGTATTATTATGGCTCAAAACCACAGCTTACAGTTCATTGAATGTGTATTTTAGTTACTATGAAGTAACTATGCAGTGTTTTTTTTCTGAAAGTCATAAAACCTTACCCCTCCTCACATTCAGAGCAACGTAAAAGCCAACCTGAGGCAAGAGAAGGCAAGTCAGTTCATTTAAGTAACTCATACTGTCTTGATTAAAAATTCATTTGGCTCCCCACCACCTTGAATTCTTACATGAAAAAATAAAATATTTCTGATGTCCATGGGACAAAAATTTCATAAATTATTAGAGTGTTTTCCCTTCCGTTTTTGTGTGTGTGTCATTTGCTTATTTTCTTAGTTAATTTTGTTTCTTCTATGTGGACATAGAACAAGACTACCAAGGCATGATCTTTAAATTGTCAGTGTTTTCTAAACAGGTTTAAAGAAATGGTATGTTACAGTAAAATGGGAAGTGTGAAAAGATGCTTCTGTCATGTTTATTTTCTGCTCATGCTTCAGTTGAAGTTTCATATATCTAATCTTGTGGTTGAACCACATTTGGCTGGATAAATGAGGGAAGAAAAAAACAATCCCACCCAGGAAAGAAAGCCAGCTGTCCAAGGGTAGCTGTTGTGAGAAATTAAATACCAGTGCTAATACAGCAACCTATGGAGGGAGATGCAGCGTGGTTCTGCCACTTCTGCTGTCTGCTGCCCTGGTTTAGCTGTAACGTGACATAGTAGCTCTGTGTTTTGAATAGATAGGAAGAAGTTTGTCATATGTATTGATACATTCATTTGAAGGAAATTTTTTTTTTTCAGTATGTGCCTGGAATTCGTTTACCTGAGAGCAAAATAGTCCCTGGTTGGGAGCTGATGTAAAGCTAACCCAGATAAGCACAGAGTGATAAAGTAGCACTTTGAGACATATTTTGACATACATGTGTAAATATCTATCTGCATTCAGCTTAACACAGAGTTGTTAATCTGTTGTATCATCCCTCCCCCAACACAACAACTTATTCCTCAAGTAGAGTTATGGAGCTTTGTTTGCTACAAAATTATGTTCTCACAAGCCCTATTTTAAAGCTCCTGATCTTTGGTAACTGAAAATATTTCTAGATTGTCTACCCTGCCCAATGTCAGTTTCAACTGTACACTGACTTTCCTGCTGAATTTCAATCTGAGAGTTGCTCACGTTGTGTTAAAGACAGAGGAGGATCTTCCAGATCGGTTGACTTGGGCATCCAGACTGAAATTTGTTTCATAAAGCTGTTGACTTCCTTTGTTGTTCTCAGGAGGTAGATTTTTTTTTGCGGGCGGGAGGGTGGGGTGGGGAGGAAGGGAAAGGCAATGGTGTTTGTTTTCAGCCAGCACTTCCTTGCTGCTTTTGGGTTTTGAGGTTGGTTTGGTTTTGGTTTTTTCTGAACTGGAAAGTATTTTCTCTGATATTTGGCCTAAAATTTTAGTACACCATTTAAATATCCCTTCTCTCTCTCTTTTGCATCCTTGTCCATTTTTTTTAATGTACAGTAGCCTACTAAAAAATTTGAGTTTTTTTACAAGTAATAGCTTTGATAAAATATTTTCCCATGAGAATGTAGAATGTTTATGAGGCTACATTTTTTAGGTGTGGGAGGTTACAAGTAAGTCCTTTAAAAATAAACAGACAGTAACTTTGCCTTCTGTTAACAACACAATATTTACTGCTAGCAGGTGCAATTATACCACAGGTTGATGTGTGAAGGTGAATGTTTAAAAGAGAGAGCATTAGTATGGTGCATAATGCAGAAAAGATAGGCACAGACATGCATTTTTATAGTATGTTCTGTCTACTCACAGTATCTAAAATTTAGTGTATGTAATTTACTTTCAGGTTTAACATTTTAGGATTATAGTAGTAACCTATTCTTTTTGCATAAATATGTCAGCTATTGTTTTGTGTTGAGTCTTTATAAATAAATTTTTATATATATATACACACACATATATATATATATAAGGGGTTGAGAATGGATCAGAAACAGCCCACTCTGCTGGGTCTTATCCCTATATATTCCTTATAAAAGGATGTCTTAATTAGATAACTGTTGTGGATCTGCTGTACTTCAAGGGTGCAAAATGTTAAGCATATTTGATTTTTCATTTTTCTGGCAAGTGGTTTTCTAAATACCAAGTATGGAAATGACTATTGTTTTTCTGGAGTATTTGCTAACACTAATGTCTTTGGGGGTGTATGTGTATTTTGGAAGTTTAATTTTTGATACTCTGTTTTCTCCCTGAGTGTTACTGAACAAAATCACAGAATTTTCCAGTCAGGGTCTTTCCTCTGCATGTTAGTATCTATGCTAGGAATTGTTTCTGCCTATAGCACCTTGCTAATTGGGAATTAGAATGTTTATATGTTTTCCATAAATGCTCTTCTTTTATTTTAAAGATGACACATGTTGATGCCACCGTTTTGTGATCCTCGTAGCAGAAGATAGTCCTACTGAGAAAATGAGCACTTTGATCATTCAGTCTTTGAACTTTAACCTTTGACTGGAAGTGACCTATAGGCAATGAAGACTACTTCCTTTGACTGCATTTTTACTAGTGTGCATTCTGGGCGCATGTTGATCGCTGGTTCAGTCCATGCAACTGACATGCTTTTATTAGTCATACAGTATTAATGCAGGTGTCCAGAAATGTCAGAGTAATTCCATTATTTTTATTTTAAGTTTTGGAAGAATTCCAGGTCTTCATATATTGTGCAATAACACTGAGCTCCTTGGCGGTTTTGGTGCATCCATTGCCGGCAATGGACATTGTACCAGGGAATGGTTTAGCTCCTGCCACAAAAAAGATTGACACATGACTGAGCTTATGAAAATTTTGGATATACTTGGAATATAAGCAAGGGATTGACAATTACCTGAAATCCAGCCCATTCTTTTATATTTGGATTCTATGCACTGTGACCACAAACCTAGCAGCATGAGTTAACATGCCTACCTGAAGGACTGTAATAAGATCATTATGTATTTATTAAGTTGTTTATCTGCTGTCAAATTGTTTTGACATGGGCGGTTTTTCAAGTGACATTGGCAGAGAGGTACAATGTTATCCCTATGGTGAAATAAAACTACTTTTTGTATATAGTTATTCATATCTCTGAAGCAAAGGTATGAGTAATTTAGGATATGAATGATTTAAACAAGAATTTATTTTGAAGATAGAGGATGGCAGTGATATAACTGAACTTGCTGCAGTCCTTAACTGGGCTTGTAATTTGTACTTTAGAGCTTTTTCCAAATAGATTGCACACTGTTATTTCCTGCTAGCCATCAGCATGAGCCCTACTGCCTACACCAATATTTCATTTATTTATGTGTTCGAAAGCAATCCATATAACATTTTTTGTTTGTATTCACTGTTTCTTTTGTGTTGTATGTCATGTTTGAATGTTACAAAACGATATTTTGATTGAAAAGCTTTGTCAGAAGATATTTTCATGTAAATTATTTCTTTACCTTGTAAGCATCATCTTGTCTTTTAATCCTGTATTATAAAAAGAAAAAAAAATACATTTTTGACAGAGGCTTAAAGTTTTCACAAAAAAGTGTGGACCTTCTTATTTAAGTTTAGACTAAAATATATTTTCTTAACTTGCTTGTCCCATGTAGCCATGCCAATTTTTCCAGGCTTTTCTTCACCAAAAAAAGGGGGAAAAGCCCAAAATCAGACATTTTTCTGTGGAGCAACATTTACTGAAATGACAGTTGTTCTCAGCACTCTGTAATATTTTGATACTGCAATTAGGTTCTCTTTTTAGGAAGCACTTTTATAAACTAAATACCTTTACACATATGCAAAATTTCTATAATTTTTTTTTTACTGTTGCCTTATTGTTGCACTCAAAAAAAATTCAAGCAATTAATGCATGAATGTCTAAATCAAGTAATAGCTTGATGTAAAAACAGACAAAAGCAAAAAAAAAAAAAAAACCACAAAAATCCCTAAACCAAATCCACAATGACTAACTACAATAAAAAACAGAAAATTGGCTGAAAAGACTGATTTTTTTTTTAATCTGCTGTATGATAACTAATGTTTTATAGCCTTGTACATACTTCTCTGTTACCTGTTGTTTAAAACACTTTTAAAAAAGTATAGATGCTTAACTCAGGGTGGATAGAGTTTAGATGGATTTGCTTCAGATAAGTATTTTGTACAGCATCAGAACTGTAGATACTGGGAGTGAAGTGAGGCTACAATATACTTCAGGAACTGCTTTTTGTGTTCCTACTGTACTGAAAATATCTCTTGGCCTTTAAAACTCAATGGTAAAATCTAGCTTTGGATATAAATTTGATGTGTGTATATATTTTCACAATGAGCCTTGGAAACACTGAATTAATTTTCTTTTAAGAGCCAAAAAAAATTGTTTTAAACAAAAGAAATACTTATGCTCTAAACGTCTTGTTTAGCAAAGTTTTATTGTTGTGAGGTCATCAAACTGGTTAGTTTTGGAAATGGTTCATATGAACGAGCAGTAGTCTGATACTTAATCTGTATAGTCTTGTTCACTGCTCTGTATGAATTTAAACAGTTGAGAAATCAATGTATGACTGGTTCATATAGTGGATCCTATCAAAATAGTCCACAGGAAAGAAACCTTAATGTGACCAGGTAATTTCTGAAGAAATGGCTTAAGCACATTGCAGATTCAGTTATCTTTTCATATAGTGGCCTGGGAAACTACAATACATGGTTTCAGAGAAGCTTCATGACATACCATATGTATTTTGTTGAAGATGGGTGTTGTAGCGCAAAGCATTATGAATTTTATTGACCTGTCCTGTCACATGGACCATAGTGAAGTTAAATAACCAAATTTATGCTGCTCTTTAATACACCCCCACCCCCTATAATATACTTAGATCAAGAAAATGTAAGGTAGATTAGAAGAGAATGTACCTCAGGTCTTATAGTTTACAGTAGAAATGCCTCATTGGTTCTCTTGTAGATCTGTGGGTAAGTTCACTTATATAGAGAGGGCCAAGACAAAGCTTATATACCACTCAAGCCCTCAAGATAATGCAACTATTCTGACAATGCTATGATGTCCTGAAAAAGGGCTTGAATTAGATGGAGGTGGTGCCACCCTTTCCCAAGGGTGACCCTGTGTATGTAACTTTCTTTCACTTGGAGTTTCTCACATGGAATAGTTACAGAATTGGCTTGAAACTATCTTGCTTTTATTTTGTGTCAATATTCATGTTGTTAAGCACTTTGTTTTGTGTTTAGTGTCTTTATACTATAACACAATAAATTCTTGTTTTAAAATAGATTACTACCCTTGAATTACTACCCTTGAAAAGGTGTGGACCTTTTCATGGTGCAGTGCAGAAGCATAATTCCTGACATTCAGCCACTCTTAAGACAAAGCTGCCAGTTATTCTGAAATGTTGTGATGCATATCAGAGGAGGAATTTGCATAACAGCAAGATGTTTCCTCATTCTGTAGAGGGTATCTGTTGTAACAGCTGAAAGAAATAGTTAATTAAAAAAAAATCACTAAGATGTAATGCTTTCATTTCTCACAGATGAGCAAATAGTTATTTTTTTTTATTTTTTTTTATTTTGGCGCTGTTTGACAAGCACTTAAAATACTTGAGAAGTTTCAGATGCAGGATTCTTGTTTGCCTGCAGTGGTGGAATACAGTTTCTATTATTTTGTCAGCATCAATAAGAACGGTTTAGTCAAATCTCTGCCTCATACCAATAACTGCTTTCAGTTTTGTACTACTTTTTTCACAAGACGATGTCTTCTGCTTTGTAAAAAGCAAGGCACTGCATACCTAAAACATGTATTTTAATGAAAAATTAAGTTTTTAAAAATTATTATTTTATATTGTGAAGATTATTCTAAATGTTTGGGTTTTTTTTAATTTACTACTTTTTTTTGAAAGTCTGACAAAAACCTAAGATGTGAACTGTATTTAAAGGTATGCTTTAAGGGGACCATAAATTTTCCAGGTCAGTAATTAATGATATTTTAAAAAGAGAGGGGGAAAAAACCCTAATTAAATTAAAACATTTGCAAAATTACAGCTATAGAGTTTGAAGGTTTGGGGGGAGTCAGTATAGCTTTTGCCTCCTCTAGTAGAGCAATTGAGCATTATCTTGTGTTTGTATGCTCACAGATCCCGATCATTCTAAAGAACAGGTATGAATGGATTTTCATCTAAAACCAGTTACTTCTAATCCATATCACGCAGTACAGTTTGGATTTACACAGTGGTACCTGAACAGTTGGGTGTTGAACTGAATGAGGGGAATTAAGCTGTCTTAGTGATATTCCATCTTCAGGTGCAGTCACACAACAATATGAGGAGAGACTTTGGATTTGATTCATGTGCCAGGTACTTGTTGGCTGTTGTTTCAAGGACTAATAATACATTTCCAAACCTCCTGGCTTTAAAATACCTTTATAAAATTGGAGAGTAGAAATACCATGAGCCACCTTTTACTGTAAAATATAATTCAGAAGTACAAATTTGAACAAACTTAGTTACTGTTTTTATTTCATTTTACTGATATAGCAATGCAGGAAAATCTGTTCACTCTTCATTTCTTTTTCTTTCAGATTTTATATGCTTTAAAAAATAATGTTAAAGGAATTTTAATCAGCTGATTCAATGTAGCGAATTCTCTCTGCAGCTACTTAAAGTGATTTTTTTAAAATTAAAAAGTAAGAGTATTTCACAAACATTGTAGTTCCAAAGTAATTTCTGTCCTGAAATATGTAGGCAAAACCATGTAGATTTCATTCAGATAATTATTTTGTATTTAAAAACAAAAAATTAAATGCAAAATCAATTGACTGTGCAGTGTATATAAGTATAGAGATTGGATTTATAAGCTTGTGTCCATAGTTTCTAATAAAATACTTCATAGGAGCTTTAATGTGTGAGTCAGTGGTAGTAGGTTAGATTGTATTTAACTCCCTCTACTTTACATACAGGCTATGTGCAGTGTAACTTTGTCTTTTGAAGTGACATTTTTCTCTTGACCTCTCCTGGTGAAGGAGCGGCTTACATGAGACTCTTCTGAATAGGAATCCAGTGAAGAGTTGAAAAACCATAATGTTGGCTTCAAAGAAAGATGTTACAATCTGGATTTCTGTAACACTGACCACAGTTCTTCCCTCATGCTGGCCTGTTTTTTTGTTATTTAAAATCTCCATGGTAAGACCTTAAAACTCTTGTCCTGCCTTCAGCAATTGGGGAACCTGTTTTCTACAAGCCCTTTGAAGTGCTTAGTGCCAAGTAGGTGAGGGTTAGGTCTGTTCAGATGAACATTCTGGGCCCTTTCTCTTCCCAGGACTACAATATTATCTGGATGCTGTTAATGCAGTTCTCCAGGGCATTTAATCCTTAAAGATAAAATCAAGCATGGTTTCTGCTATTACCAGAGAAAGAGGAATTTGTACTCCTTCCTTTACAGTCTAATAATTTACATTCCTACCTTGCATCTAACTATATTCTTGAGTCTGCACTGAGATGATTTAACATGGTAAATCAGTAGGAATCCGACTTGAAAAAGTGAAAATCTGTCTTTTCAATTAGCAAATTAGATCGGCTTGCTGCATAAGCAATAGTTTCAGAGCCAGTGCAAAAAACTGGAAGCTTTGTATAGCTGAGGTTTGGAAGGTGGGGGATCAAACATGATTTGTATCTTTAGAATTTTCTGCAAAATAAAATATATAAAATATTGGCAACCTTGTGTTACAAAGAAGCTGAGTTATGTGCTATGACAAGCCTGAGAGCTGGAGGTCTGAACTGCCTATTAGTCTATGGGAGTGGACTCTTGTATTTTTTAACTCTGTTTTCCAGTAAAAAATCTGAAGTTGCTTCAAAATGTTTGAGTCATCTGTTACCTCTCCATTTAGATGCCTTGAGTTTTAGTGTTCAGGAACAGGTTGGCTTTTTGTGTTTTGGTGGGTGTTTTTTTGTTGTTGTTGTTTTGTTTGTTTGTTTTGTTTGTTTTTGGTGTTTTTAAATGTAGCAAGTCTGTAGTCATTGTTCTGTGGGGATATTTTTAGTTAACTTTTTATCAGATCACTGTTGTCAAACCTTAATCAAATGTAGTTACAGATGTGGTGAAACTGTTTAGAAAATGACAGTTATTTTTCCAGAAGGAAGGCAATAATGCTACAAAGAAAATGTTCTTGAGATTAGATAAAAAGCCAGATGTGTTTACAGTCATCTAACACAGACAACAGTTGTGTCCCAAGTCTCAGAGGTCTCATTTGCCTATTGTATACTTCACGAAGAGGACTCTTGCACTCTGGTAGGAGGTTTTCAAGACAGAACCACACCTTTTGCCACCTCATCCATTTCTCTGAAGGTTTTGTTCAAGGAATGGATGAAACCTGGTGGTTTTACCTGTATTTATTTGTGCAGGGTCAGTGAAGAGGGTGTGACAGCTGCTACTCTGACTGATGATGAATTGTGAACAGCTCTTGAGCCTCTTGTTCTCTAAACTGTCCCTATGTCTGCAGAAAACATTGTTAGCTATGTTTTGCATGCACAGAATAAAGTACATTTTATTTACATGGTGTAGACAATTTATTGAAGATCAGAACTTTGGAAGATGCAGTATAGAATGTATACATAACTTAGTAAGTGACAAATATAAGTCATCAAATTTCCAGATGACTCACAGTATATCAAGACTAAAGTCTTGATTTGCATAAGGTTTTAAATTTATGGGGTCTGAGGTGGGGGGAGAATTTGGGGGAGTCATCTTGCACTGGTATCTTCTGTATCACACTTTGGACTATAACTCTTTTAATCTCTGAGGTATCTGTGTGTTGTCATCTGCCCCAGGCAGTAACTATTATCTTAAGTGTTACGCTGGAGTAAGAGGTGACTTCGTATTCTTTAAATAATGATAATCCAGACAGTCCTGTATTGGGAATGATTTTTAAAATGCTCCTTCAGACTGTGTTGACCAACAGTGAGGATACCACATGGAGATAGGCTATGCTCACAAAGTAAGGCAGGAGGGAGAACAACCAGTTCTTGAAGTTTTAAGTTTGATAGCATCCTGAAGGTTCTCTAAAAATCAGTGGCTGGTGGCATGATGTTTTGGGTTTCTATGTTTTTGGGATTTTGGGTTTGGGTTTGTTTTTTGGTGGTGTTTTTTTTTTGTTTGTTTGTTTTTTTGTTGTTGTTATTGTTTGGTTTTTTGGTGTGTTTTTTTGTTTGTTTGCTTGCTTTTAAGAGGACATCAGTAACTGCACCAATCTATAATTGTTACGTTACAAAGTTCTTCAAAGCTGCAGAAGGGCAAATGCAATGCAACTGTGGTCATGAGACAAGTGAAGGATCAAGGTCCTGTATGACAATCAGTAGCATTTTGTTGAGATGTGCTATATTAAAAAAAAAAAGAATGGGTAGCCCTCTCCGTGAACTGAGTTAATACGTTTCTTTTCTTTCTTTGCAATTGTTTTACCAGAAACCCTAATAAACAGCAAGGTAGATTTCATACTGTGCCTGACTAGATTTTGAAGTCTTGTATGTGGAAAATAGATATTTTACTGGATATTGTAGTTTGTGTGTTTTGTAATTCTGAAAATGTCTTCTGTTAGCTTCCTTTCTTTAGTCTGTAAGAATAGACTAAATATATCTAGTCACTACTTATGAATTCCTGGTATCTTGGGTACTGTTGGGGAATGCTGTACAGAAAAGCCTGTAATTCTTTTCCCTAAAAGCTTCTCTGGATTGTTACACTCAGTTAAATACATCATCTACTTCTTTTTGTTTCCCATCAGCTACCTTGTAATGTTGAGGGTTTTTAAACTTATTTCTGTGCAACTCTTTTTGGAAGTGAACATTATAAAGGCTGAAAATTTGGATATTGATATAAATATCCAGAAGGCAAGTTTCCTTACATTAGTACTGTAGCATGCAATATAGTAAGGCTTAGGTCTTCTTGAATGATTTCTGAAATGTAAATCCATCTGAAATTTTTATTCAGTATTGGATGTACCTGGTTAAGTATAACAAGGATTGTCTTGTGCCAGCCAGCTCAGTCTGGAGCATCCCTCCACACCAAGTTTATTGTCTCAGGGTTTTCTTGGTAGTAAACTATAGATCTAATTGGAAAATTTGTGGTGATCTCTGCATAAGGTGATTCCATACTGTTTTGTGTTGAGATGTTTTTTTGTGTACTTCAAGGCAGCTGTTAATGCACTGATACTTGATTTTGAGAAATGAGTCCTGTCACTGTTGAGAGTTTGTCACTTGGTAAAGCATTTACTTAATTCTCTCTTTCCTATATTTGCAAAATATTATTACAGAATTTGGCCTCTGGAAAGGAGTCTTCCTGCATGATCTGCACCAGAATGCTGCTTCTTTTTGTCATACAGTTTATTTCTTGTGTTTGGTCTCAACAGTAGTTATATATGTAGGTACATATGAAGGTGGGTACTCATCTTGCTTAGGCCTTGCATTATTTGGGTTTATTTTAGTGTATATCAATCTTTATATGTTTTACCTTACTTTCTATAGTATCAAACACCTTGCAAATTGCAGCTTTTAATTTAAAAGAGCAAGAGTCCATCAACATTCACATTTTCATTCTTTATAGGTTTTTTTAAAGCAAAGATACTGCATTAAAAATAATGTGGATAAAAGGAAGTGAGAACTTGCTAGCTTTTGTCTGGAAGTTACAACTTACAAATTCTTACAAAATGCTCCTTTCAGATTTCAATTTTCTAATCTAAGGTGGTTGGGTTTTTTTGTTGATTTTGTTTTTCTTTTTTTCTAAACACATTCTTGTTCTGACATTAAATTTACCTGATACAGATATAGAGATCAAAGGACACAACTAGTCCAAAGAATTCAACCAGTAGAAAGATGCTTCCCATTCTGCATAGTTTGTTTGCTTCCCATCCATCTCTATTAAGTTACACTGCTAACTACCTTTTATTGCAGGACAGTGAAACAATTCTGTGACAAGATGAAAGGGATCTGTATTTCTACCATTTTGTAGAAGTAAAAAAATTACTTAAGGACTTATACGGTAAATTAAATCTGTATTAAACCAGTAGTTTCTTAAATTATTATTCTCTTGGAACAAGAACTGTCTTAGACTTACATGAAGCCACACTGCAAGAGCAGAAAAAAGAAATTGTCCGTACCCAGCCATCATACAGAAAAAAGTGTTCTCCGTCTCCCAGCCCCAGAAAAATAAAGGTTCAGAAGTTACCAGTACTGGAAACATGACTCAGTACACAACATAAAGGGTTTATTGTGGTCAGTAGGAATGGTAATAAAGCATTGCCTACATATGCTTCTAAGTATAGAATCTCATGAATGGAAACACTAAAAGCAAGGGCAACTGGCAGCATTGTCACTCAAATGGTGTTTATTTTTAGAGGATTACCAGTGCTCTATCCAATTCCAATCCACTGTTAGTACTATCTCTTGCCAGCACACACAAGCTTCATTCTCAGTTTGCTCAATTTTTTAAGTGACAGTTTTTGGAGCAACAAGATTCCTGCTACTTCTAGGGACCATAACAAAAGACAGCTTCAAAACAGGTTGAGTGTAATTGAGTAAGCAACAGTATTACATTTGCTGAGAATACAGAATTCATGCATCAAATGTAATTGTTATCCTCAGTTTCACCTACAAAATATCAATTTCCAAGAGGTTTAATGTGCAAGAAGTTTGCTCTGTATTATGCATGGTATAACAGCAAGCACTGTTGACTTTCTCAGAGGACAGCAATGAACAAATAGTGTAACAATGTATTTAAGTGAGACAAATCATATGAATATCATACGACATATCATATTAGATGAAGTTGGTTAAAGTTGTTTAGCTTCACATCATTTTACAGTCCCACCAAAATAAGACCCCACCTCTTAGTAAAGTTTTTTTGGGTCTGGTGACAGTACACAGTAAGATTTACAGCAGTTCTAACTTTGTAATTTTTTTAAATGAGCAGTCAGCAGCAATTATCTCCCATTGATGATAAAACTCTCCCCTCTTGCATCATCACCAAATCATCAGTTACCTTTATGTCCTAGCTATGCCAGGACAACGGAGTTTGGGAGTTATTGGAGCTCTAGGATATTTTGAGAATTGACACAAATGCCCTAAGTGGATATTTTTGCTAAAATGTTGCTATGTAACACATAATTGAGCCAAACCTTTCCTAGCCATCCAATAATTTACCAAAAGCACTAGTTTGTGATAGTTTAATGTTGCTGAATTTGACAATTTAAGCAAGAGTAAATCCCCACATAATTTAAGAAGTTCAGTGTTCATTTAATGAGAGAATAGGATCAATATATTATCTGGAACAGGGTCTGTGGCAGTTCTGTACATCTCTGAATTTCTCTGAAAGTTGAAACACTAACAGTGCCCACATGCCCTCATAGAAGTTAGGGAAACGTCCCCATGTCTGACAATGTTTTGATTCTTCAAAGCCATATTAAGACAAAGTATAAACAAATTACAGGGCACTGCATCTTTACAGACTTATTTGAAAATTTTGGAACAGTTTTATCTGTTTCTTTGCTACACTTTAAGTTCATTATGGAACCCGGTGCATTACTGATTTATATACACATTTGATAAAAGAAAAACAAAATACATAATTTTCATGTCCAACACTGGCCCTAACTTCAAGATGTAAAAAGCCTAATCCCTGCTCTCTCTGGCATCTAGTCTGCTATTTGTAGGGGTGCCAATAGGTGTGATTAGGTATGATTAGTCATGAGCATGACTGCAAATAAATGTGACTAGTATGGACACAAATGTACAAGCTGGTCACATTACTGGTGTCACTTTGGTTATGTTTGAAGTGTTACTGTAATCTTTGCCTGCACTGAGAGGCACTAATGAGAATCCAAAGTGTTTTAATATATGTGTGATCCTCTCATACAACACTATCAGTGGAAATAGCATTGTGTTTGGACTTGTTTGAAAGTCTTTTATGTAGTCAGAATGCTCTCACTAAAGCTAAACCCCCAAAAATCCCAGGCTTGTAATCAGGAATTTAATCTTATAGACTCTATTGCTTCCTTGACCTGTAATTTGACTTTGACTTTCCCATACTTCTCTCCTGAGCAAAACCAGTGTAGTCTCATCAGGAAGCAGTGCCTACTAATGCAGAAATGGGCCATTTCTAAATGTCTGTGTGCTTTGTAATTGAAAACCAATACACCATGATCTTCAGTCTGCTAGTTCTGTTATTATTCTTGCTGATTTATCAAATTGTCGTTACCTTTGTCTCCAATTGCTGTAGTCATGAGATACGTTTCCCTGGCTGACCTGAATTTTCCTGGTTTTCTTCTACCATTCTATGCTCTGTGCTTTAAAGAAGAAATCCAAATCTTGTTGGTTTTTGGTTTTGTTTGGTTGGGTTTTTTTTTAAATATGGAAATCACATAGGATATTCGAGAAGCTTCCAATGTTCATAATGGGTGATGAACTTGTACAAAGTATCTGTGCATATACATAAACAAAGTTTGTGTAGTAACTATATGTATTAACATATAGGCATAAATATGCAACATCATATTTTCTGCAGTTGTAAGAAGGTGAGATGGCTGTACAGAAAGCTTTTACAGTACTTTGTGTCAAAAATAAATGGAAAATTATGGAAATATCTGTCACAAATGTACAAATTAAAATTAGGGACTTGGGGTTATCTTTTATGCAGTTTTGGATAGATGACCTATAGTAATTAATTCTTTTGAATGTGCAATAAAACTTCTAATACTTACTTGAAGTAATTTACCAGTATAATTTTAAAGTTTCACCAGAGTTATTAGAAGGGTAAAGCATTTATTTACACATGGCTTTACTATTCCCAGCACTGACATAGGAAAGGAATGTCAGCAAGTGATTGTGGGAAACACAATGCTACCTGCAAAGCAATCTAAATTAGGAGCAGTGGGTCAGTTAATAAAGAAACAGAGTTGACACCTTTATGATAGGAGACCTGGATGAAGGCTGGTAATTTCAAAATCAGCACATCTTTTTGGTTGATTTCACTTTGTATTCTAAAAAAATATACTTGTTAAAGGGATGAGGACCTAGAGGTTTCTCAATGTCCTTATACCAACATTGAGGGAATTCAATATATGCTGATAAGTGCAAGTTCTAGTTCACTTAATTTAGATCCTTGAAGTGATTATGTGATTCATCTGGTTTAGGGAACTCACATTTTAGACATGAATCATCAAAGACAGTGTGTTAGTGTGAGTTGTTAAAATTCATTGCTTGCGAGTCCTCGTTGGAGCATGAAGAGTAAATGGTTTCCATTACCTGAGAAAACTCTTCACAGTATTTACTTATAGTTTGTTTTGTCTTGGTTTGTTCATGCCTCTCATTCCATGTACGAGCTAGTGATAAATTAATTTAGTAATTTGTCATGCATTGTAGTTTAAAGATCTACTTTAATAGTGACAGTTTTGAACCTGTAATTGGGGAGAGCAGTGGTCTGACTAGATGTAGGTTCATTAATAATACTGGGTTTTAATCAAGTATAATCCCAAACTCCTGGGGTTTGCTTTTAATTATTGAAAAAATATTATTAAAAAAATTAAGTGACTCATTCTTCTGGTACTAAGCTATTAGAGACTTTTATTCAGTTGAATGACTGACTAATGTAAACAATGCATTATTAACTTCTTATGGGTGTTTTATGAGCACTCTATTAGCGTCATTATGGTTTCAACTTTAGTATCAAATATCCAAGTTCTTAAATAAATAAATAAATAAATAGTACAGCTACAAAGAAACTTTCTATTACTCTGAAACAGAATTCTGTAAAATATCCAGTCTTGCAAATTTTCTAAAGGAAATCAAGCAAACTGCTAACTTGAAGGTCAGATCCAGCTTTAAAGTTGGTCCTGCTTTGAGGTGGCAGGGAGGGTGTTGGAACAGACCTTCAGAATTCCTTTCCAATCAGTTCTGCAAATCTCCTACTTCCAAAATACATCAGTAGGCATTTTCTTTGGGGATTTTTTTTTGGCTTGGTTTGTTACACCAAAGTGTATTTGAGGGGTGGAAACTCATTTCTTGATGGTTTCTGTTAAAACTACAATTCTAATAATAAAATATATTAGTAAAAATTAGAATATTATGATTTTTTTGTAAGTCAGTGTTAAAATGCTGATTTATTTTTTTTCTGAATCTGAAGTTAAAAATTACAAGGCCAAGTATCTTCAAGTGTCCTGCAATCATGTGTACAGTCCAAATAGAATAACTCTATCCTTTCCCCCACTTAGGCATTTATGCAGTCATATAGGCATTAATGTGGTTTTCTGTTATTTTCAAACTGCATACTGAATTAATCACTCGTATTAACAACTTGCATACTGAAACTAGATTGTTGGGCAAGTTATGACACTCTTGTTATTTAATAATGGAGTAGGGTGAAAGAGTACATACAAATTATGCATCTTATTTTCAAAACCCGAGAATTTTTTAGGTTGTATTAAGCTGCTTTTACTGGAGGAACTGACTAGCCTTTATCCTGAATCTCAGCCGTAGCAGGAAAAAGACCGTCAAACGTAAGGGTGCACTAAAGAAGTGACTAGTAATGCAATTTATTTGTTCATGCATATAAAGCTCCAATTATACAGGAAATGTTAAAAAAGCAAAATACAGCCATGAACTTAAAACTTTATAAAATATATTAACTTTTGTTCTATTACATATATATATATATATATATACACGGTAAGTTTTGGGATAAAATCTGCTCTTTTGTATTCAGTTTTCTTCCAGCTACATTTTGTTTGCACCACAAAATGTATATCAAGATACAAGACTTCTGAGTTTATACATGTATCTCAAGATATGTTTTTAAACTAAAATTTTAGCTGTTTAGTAATAGCAACATTATAAAAATGTTAGGTATTGAAATAATAGCACAGATTGGTGATTTTAGAGGCTTGTTGGAATTACACCTGTCTACTGCAGACAGTTCATAAAACCCCCCTCATAATCTGATGCTGATGTTCATTAGATGCATTTTTCTCTGGGTGTGCTGATGCTAAATATGTGCTATACTGTCATATTGTTCTTCAAACTACTTATAGTAAGTAAAGTAAAAATGACATGACATAAAATTATGAAGGAAAAAAACAAGAACAAACATGAAAAAACCCCCCCAAACTACTATGGACAGCACCATCGCGATTCAGCATCTGAATGAATTGTACTCATGCAAAAATTTGCAGTAGCCTAATGAAAAGTACTTGCATTATTATCCATTGCTACATTATATCAGAAGACTACAAAAGCAATTGTATTATACTGTGTATTTCTGTCCTCAGTTCTTAAATTAAATTAAGGGGTAAGGAAGCTCAGAATCAGAAAACAAAACAATGGAAGAATGAGAAGGGGAGGATTAACAAGCTACCACTGCTGAATACGGGGTATGTATAAAACTCTCACAGCAAATGCTGAGTTCCCAACATGTGTTTCAACAAGTTGTAAATGTCATATTAGTGTTCTGTTAGTATGAATAAAATCTTGCTATCACTTAGATACTCACAATGCAGCTCTGCCACTAGGTGTCATGATGTGTATTTGGTGTGTAAATTATCTACCATATGCAAGCTTACTACCAAAATTCACCTGGACTCTGTGCTTTAGAGTGTTCCTCCACTACTGTCCTTAGAAATTGTATTAAGCTACATCTTTTTTTTTTTTTTTTTTTTTTTTTTCTCAGAACTGATCTGCCTCTTGGTATCAAGTAATAATTTAAAAAAATTCTCATATAATAGCAGATACTGCAGGCAATATGAACCCTAGACTCATTCTGATCCTGACTTATCTGTTGGTTTTTTTTTAAATTACATTTGCTATAACTAATGTTATAACTCTCATATAAAAAGATTCATTAGAACTTAGTTGTGTAGCAAAAAGGTATAGATCTTTGCCCCCTCAAAATCTAGTTTGTTTTTTTTTCTGAGCCTGATGAATTTTGTTACTGCATTCTTGCAAATCAGGTAGGAAGATGATTGCTTCAAGTTCTGATGCTTCTATTTGGCTTTTGCATAGATTTAAAAATTCTTGGTTTGTTTTACTTGAGCCAATCAAGAAAACAGATTTTTACAAAGTTAGATTGTGGATTAAACTCAGAAATCTTTTATTAATGAACAATAAACTTCTGATTACTTTGTGATAAAGATTTGAATGTTATCTTTTTCATGCTATAGATGCTCAGAAATTTATTTATTTGATTTCTTTGCCTTCTATTTGTCTATTAAGTTTGAATTTAAAGGAAGAAACACTTTCGACTTTAATCTCAATTTGCATAAGCTTTTTGTTTGTTTCTGCCTTTTTTTTTTTTTTTTTTACATTTTTCTATCTAGTTCTGCCTTCAATAAGGGGGCAAACCTGAAACAAGGCAACAAGATAAATATTTTTAGTGGTGACAAAACCAAAGACAGTTCATTTTGGTTGGAAAGACACAGAAACACCAACTTATCCCAAGGTTTTATGTGGCTGAGCCCTGGCACTGTGTAAGTAGAGGAGGGTTTGTGCCTACCGGGGGAAGGAGGAGCTTTCATGGATGCACCATGGAACCTCCATGGCTGAACCTCCACAGCTGCACTCCCTGGCCCTCGTTCCTGCAGCATCCCTCCAGGCAGCTCCCAGCAACTGCATCAGTTATTCTGATGAATTCTAGAAAGAAGAATATATTCACATGAATCTTCTTTATGAGTTTTTACCTTTCTGAAAACAGCTCCCTCGGAGCGGAAAGGTGAGAGGGGAAATACGTTGGAGAGTTAGTGGTCCAAGCTAGAGCGAGATGAGTAAGAGCAGATGGGGAAAACAGAATCAAGCCTCTTCTCTGGTGTGCTGTGGTGGCTGCCCCTTCTCCCTGTATTTGTGCCAGCCCTTTTCCGTGCCCGAAGTCTCGCTGCCCGCAGCCCGCTCTCTCCAGGCGCGCAAAGAGCCGTGCAGACAGCGGCTCTCGGGAGCAGCTGAGAGCGGGCAGAGCACGCTCGCTCAACCGCACTCACGGACCGGCACAGCCCCCGCGCCGCTTCTCGCCGCTCTCCCCGGGTCGGGGCTTCCTCCTCCGCGGTGCCGAGGCCTCGCCGTGCGGCGGAGCCCGGCCCGGCCCGGCCCGGCCCGGCGGGGGCAGGTGAGCGCGGGGTGCCGAGGCCCGCCGGGGCCGGGGCCGGCGCCGGGCGGAGGGCGCAGGGCGCCGCGCCGCCGCTGGGGGCGCTGCGCACCGCCGGGCCGGGGCCGGGGCCGGGCCGCGGACGGGGCCATTCGCACGGCGGGCGCGGGGGGAGCGCGGTGCCGGGAGCGCTCGGGGAGCGCCCCGGGGGCGGCGGGCGCGGCGGGGGCGGCGGCGAGGGGGGCCCGAGGGGAGCTGCGGGGGGCGACGCCCGGCGCGGGGGCGGCGGGGCGGGGCGGCGGCGGCGCCGGCGGGAGGGCGGGGGGGGGGGGGCGCAGTGGTTGGGGCCGGCGGCGGCCGCCGCGGCGGCGGGGTCAGTTCTCTTTAGTGTTTGCCGATGTTGGAGGCGTCTCCAAAGTGTTCCCGGGAAGCAGGTAACCGGGAGGGAGGGAGGGAGGGAAGGGGGCGGCTTCAGCCGCGATGTCCTAGTCTCCGTCCCGGCTTCCCGCTCCTCCCGCCGCCGCGGCGGCTCCCGGGCGAGGGCTCCGCCGGCCCCCGGCGGCCCCCGCCTCCCCGGGGCCGTGCCGGCGCTGCTGCGCCACGGCGCCGCCGGCCCGCTCCGCTCCGGCGGGGGGCGGCGGCGCCGACCCCGCCATCCTCCCCGGGCCCCCGTCCGCAGCCGGCCCCCGCCCGCCCGCCGAGGGGCGCAGGAGGCGGGCGGGGGCACAGGTGGGCAGCGCTGCCGCCCCCGGGGCCGGCAAGCCCCCTCTGGATCCTCTCCGCAGCTCCCGGCACACGGGTCCGGCTGCCGGCGACGGTCGCTGCGCCAAGGCCGGGCCGCGGCCGGGCTTGCGGCGGGGCCGAGCTCGGCGGGGACCACGCCGGGCCTGCCCTGCCCCGGTCCCCGGGAAGGAGTTCTGTGCGACACGAACTTGCTCCTCTTCCCGTGTCGCGCCCGGGCCTGTCGCGGTGCGCGGCCTCGGGGACGCTCAGCGGCCGCTCCGCCGCCGGCGAGACGAGGGGCGCCCGGCGCTGCTCGGCCGGTCAGCGGCGCGGACCTCACAGCTCAGCGCCGTGTGTTAGAACGTGTGTGTTAGCCAGCCCTCTGTCTGCACGTCTTGCGCTGCCCCCAAACTTCGGACAGGGCCCCAAACTTTGCCGTCCGTGCTGACTCTCCCACTCCCAAAATGGATGGTGGCATCTCTTCAGCGATGGGCAGAGCCGTTTACCGGCCTTCGCCCAGCACGAGGGTTCGGGGCCGTCGTTGAGGTGGGACCCAGAGACACACTACTGCAAAGTTGCCTAGTCCAGGCTTCTCATGGGCTGGATGGCATTTTCCCAGTGTTCAGGTGTCTGGTGGGAAAAAGTTCATCTTGAATACAGCCAGGCCTGGAAGTCACAGCCATGCCCTCCTGGGGAAGTGTGGGCTGCTTGAGCTTATCTGTGAGGGTGAATCCTTCAGCAAAGCTGTTTGCCTTGTAGTGCTCAGGGTCCCACCTGACCAGTCAGTGATAACCAAGCAAAAAAATTCCGTGCAGTGTGTCTGGCTCATGTTGCCTTACGGCCAGCAAGCTGTTTCTGTGAATACCAAGACGTAAGCTTCTCAAGCCATGTTTGGAATGCTCCCTGTGCAACTACCATGGTACTAAAAAAAAGTTTATGCTGTACAAAAGAGTAGATAAAGTGCTGCTGTTGTAGCCCCTCTCCTTGTGTGCAATACTGCCTTGAACAGTACTGAGGGATGAGTAACTGCGGTGTTGCATAGCACAAGGAAAGCTGTTTGCTCTGCCATAGCTCGGGGTGGTTGAGCTGTGCTTCTGTCAGGGAGCATACAGTGGTGTATCTCACTTGTGCTTAACAGTGGCATTGAGCTGCACGGGAGTAAGGTCTTCCTAGGTTGTGTGGTAATTCCAGGTTAGCAGTCTACACCAGTGAAGTAATACTAATGCATTTAAGCCATTTGCTAACTACAAGGAGGTTCTGTATAGGCTTTGTTGTGACATTGCTGCTTTTATAAACAGCACCAGACTGTCAGATTTCTGAATGAAATATTTTTTTTTTTTCTAGACAGTCAGCAGCAGTGTAAGATTTCCAGTACTGATTTCCAGCTGCTGAACCTTAGCTTTAATCTAAAAAACCTCAGATACTTCTGCTCCTGCCAGTCTTTGTGAAGATTCCTATTGCTGCCAGCTAGGAACAGGACTGAGGCTGCCTGCTTGTTTGTAGTTTTTGAGGGGAAAGGACAGTTCTGATTTTCTTTTCCTTGCAGACAACTTTTCAGCCATGTTACTTAGCTTGGGTTCTGCTCAGGCTTCTCCATGTGGAGGCCAAAGCCTTTATGTATCTTTCTGCCAGCTCAACCTACCTTGTTCCCCAAGAATTACATCAAAATAATAATAAATTCGACTAATCTTAAATTCTGATTAAAGATAGCAGATTGTAAAGAAATGTTCTAATTTTACTTGTAGAAGAACCTGATAAGAGGTGTTTTAATGAGTGGACCAAGTTTAAATAAGCATTTAACACCATCAGCCTGTTCTTTGGGGGCGAAGGTTTGATTTTCCTCCACAGCTTTGAGAACTTCACTCTAACTCTGGTTTACACTGGTGTGAATGTGGGAAGTGAATCAAATACTATGTTTTATTCGTAAAGTGTCATGACAAATGACCTTGGGAAGGTTAGGCAACAAGCCATAGTGAAGCAGATTCTCCTATTCCAAGACTGGGTCTCTAGGCATAGGAAAGGTGCACCTGTCATGCTCTATCTAGATAGTTTGTTTTGACCTGCCCAAAATATGTGACTATTGAATTGTAAATCTTTGAAAACACTTAAAAACTCCCATCAATTATGCTCAGTCCTTTACCCCAAAATACTTCTTATGGTATTATTCCATTGGAGAGCTGATCTTATAAGAGAAGTGTGTGGGTTTTAGTGCCTTTTTTTTTTTTTTTTGCATATATTTGATCGATATGGGCACAGATTTTTTTCTGATCAGGGTGCAAATTATCTATTTCCTCGTGCATGTATCACTGATGTGCTGGGGAAGGACCTAACCCTGCATTTTTTCAGGATAACCGAAACAACGTAACTTCTGTTAATGAGCCACTAGAGCTACACTTTTACTTCCACTGCTTACATTTATTTTCTATCACCAACAGTAGAGTCTATAGGAAAATATGCCTGTCTTTTGCCAGAACTTATTGGTTTGTATTTCTGATCTTTGGATCACACATAGCCTGTATTTTTCACAATGGTTCTTGAATTCTCTCTCCTCTAAAAAGAAGGAGAGAAAGAAAGACAGGGGGGCACCATTTGGTGGCAGGGAATAAAGAGCACAAGGCAGGGGTCCTGTGGAGGCAGGTCAGGGAATTGGGTTGGCAGTTTTGCTCAGACAAAAGGATAGTAAACGAGGGAGAATGGAATTGGTGGAAATGCATGACAAACTCTGTGAAGAGAGGAAATGGAATCTGTGTGTAGTGTAGTTAACACACGTATATAATTTATATATATATATGTATATATATATATATATAAGTCAAGGGCTCTGCATTTAGGGAGTCTGCTCATTGTCAGTACTGAGTCACAATCACCATTATCCAAAGTGTGTTTGCATTAAAGGATCAAGAGTTCAGTAAGAATCTGAGAGATGCCTTCTCAGGCACTGTTCTAGAAAAATATTTAGAATTAAAAAATTGCTTATCACAACTCCTAATGTAAAAATTAATTTTGAAAAGCCGTCTGTGGTAGTGTAACACTAAAGTCACATCTATGCCTATAAGTGCTAGAGATGGTTCATACTTCATCTCAAGAGCAAGTGTTTTGTGGCTTTGGTTTTGTTTTGTAGGTATTTTTTATTAAACTGGTAATTTTTGGAGTGTTTCCCATTAATGAAATATGTCATACTGTGTCATACTCCATCTTTGCATTTGCTTTAGTCAATTATACATCTATACAGTACATCACTAGAATGTTACAAATTTATTTCTATTTAACCAAATAAAATCAAATTATGAAATTTAAATTTTTCCCAGTAAATAGCAGTTTTTTCATATTAAATTGCTAATATTGTGACTTCACTATGCTTCTGTATCCCCCATAGTCTTCTGATTTAGTCACCATTAAAATGATGGCAGGGGGCACTTTTTAGACTGGTAAGAACTCAGGCTTTGAGCTCAGATCCCCGTTGGTGTCCCAAACCTGGTTATGACTAGCAGCCAGTTATTATATCAAGTAAGTATCTTCTGAAAAGTTCCAAAGGATCACAGTGGTTCCACTTCCAGTTTCACTGCTTGCCAGCTTTGAGGAGACTGTTTTGCCTCCAGGCTAAAGGAAATGTTTTTGAGTGTAGGAGACCAGATTTTCTTGAAAAGTTTCCTGCAATGAAAATAGTTACCTGTTGGATCAAGATGAGTAACGTAATTTTTATTGCTACTGCTTATTTTCTGCACCTGTTAGATATTTGTGGTTCCCAGTTTCACCTACAATGACTCTAGTTTAAAAAAGCAGTGTTAAACCAATATAAGGAAGTATGAGTATACTAAATGTTTAGATTGATATCAGTAACTGGAATTGTCTGGATAAGTAACTGTCTGCAAGTGAAAGAGAATTTTTCCACATCACCCAGATGACACATCCATGCAACTGATACATTTTGAAGGATGAAATCAAGATAATGCTGTTCTTAAGGTGGAAATGTAGGCCTGGTAGAAGGCAATGTTGGGTCACTTAGAAGCATACCCAGTTGTTCTGATACAAACAAAATAATAATGAATTAGCACTCTAACACTCTGTAGTAGCTTTGGCTGTGTTAGACAAGAACAAGAAGCACTCTAAAATTTCACGTTAACTGTTAGTTAGTATGTTTGTTTTATTTTCCCCTCCTTCTGCTGGTCCTTCTTCAGTCCTGGGTAAGATGTTGCTTTTTGCTTTCCAGACTGTGGAAAATATTTTCTCTGCTTTTTGTTGCAGGTTTGTGTATAATAGTATTTAAACTTGCCTGCTCTGAAATAGTTTTTCATCTATGAAGGCAATGTTCATGCAAGGAGGCATTTTGCTTAAGAGTATATACCCAAGAGACATTCTTTTTGTACCTGTTTAGGGCCTGGAAATTGTAATGAATGACTCCAGAAGGATTTTCTTAAAAACCTTTCTGACCCTCTGAGAATTCAGTGCAAGACACTTGCTAGTCTTGTATTAAATGAGTGTTCAGCTTCTTCACGGCAGCTAGGGCTGTCTCATCTTTGTGAAAGGGAATGAGAAACTTGTCCTGGATCAGGAGTCAGTTAAAGCTCCCTGTTTATTCATCTCTCAACATTCTCTCTTAGCTGAATCCGTTGGGTTAGATATGGAGTTTGACCTCTTCAGAAGGGAGAGTGGCCCACATCATCTTTTCTTCACCCCTTTTCAGCTGGACAGTTTTTATTACTTAGAGCCT